ATGACAAACGTGTGAGAACTATGTGCAAAGAAAGAATCAATAGTCTCAAATGAGACGTAAGTATTTGCTTATATGCAATATGCTTAAATCTGATGTCAGTCGGATGCTCAGAGGCCTTTTTTGTTCTGGTTGTGGGGAAATGAGGAGAGACTTCCAGAGCTGGGTTCTAGATTAGGAAGATGTTTCTATGTTATACAAGCAAAGTATAGAAACAATCTCTGAAGTTAAAGTGGAAGGACCTCTTAGAACTTCCTGATTTTTATATTTCACAAAATAATGGAGAAAAGTGATGCTAAGAGAGGTGAAGTGACTTACCTGGAGTCCCCCAGTGTGTGGCCAAGCCTGGACAGGTAGCACATTTCCTGACCACAGCTCCAGTGTTCTCTACACTGGCCTTGTGCCTCTGAGGGGAAGAAGATAAGGTTCTTGTCAAGGGTAAAGGGGATGAATTCAAAGGCCCTAGTAAATCCACTCTTCCTAGAGTACCTATGGTTTGCTCATGTTCCATGGTAGAGTCTATGTGCACAGATATGTCTGTGTATATGTACAGGTTTATCAGAGTATGAGATGCACATAAAACTAAGGTCAGCACCTTCCTAGCCCTGGAGACCACGTGAAAATCAGCCTCGGGTCTGGGGCCTGGAGAGTTTTCTGGCCCTGAGAAGGGTCAACAAATCCCAACTCTATTCCTTTGCAGCACTTTGGGGGACTATAGCTTTCCCTTGACCAATCCCAAAGATTTGGAATTTTCTAGAAAGAGTCTGTCTAACACCAGCTCACCGTCCTGACAGAGATTTTGACTGGCTCAGACCTCCAGTGCTGCAGCAGTCGTAATTCCTAAGCCTCCTGACTTGAAATGATGGATCTGGCACCTCTAAGAAGGCATGAAATCACGGATCTGGTATGATCTGATCCCCAGCTCCTTGGAGATCTGGGTGCAGGATGAGAGGAAAAGCCAGGAAGGGGGGGTGTGCCAAAGCACACAGGGCCCCTCACCAAGTAGAACCACTCCTGTCACACCTCCTCCCAGGGGCTTTTCTTTTTTTTTTGCTTATGAGGCAGAAGCCTTGAACACGTTTTATAAAGCAAATTTTTGTTCCAAAGAAGTACTCTGGACAGGCAGAAAACTATCACCACTGGCTGAGCCTGTTTCCCATGTGGGGCGGGGCACACCTGAGAAGCCAGTTGTGGTAGATGCTGTTGGTGCCGGAGCCCTGTCCAGACCCTCGTTGTTGACAGGTACACCCATCTCCCAGCTTATGTGAGTGTGGCAGCCCAGGGCTTATACCTGAGACCTGTTCTGGAGCATTGCCTTTGGCTTATGAGAGCTGCTTAGGAGGTTCCACCGCCATCCAGTTCCAGTGGAAGCAATGACCGTCACGTGCGTACAACAACCCAGTCCTGTTGCGTGGAGACAGGGCAACTCTATGGTGTAGCTTCAGCTCCACGATCCTTGAGGATCGGGAGAGGGCTAGACCTTCCCTGGGCACGGGCTTGCTCTGCTCTCCACCCTTCCCTATCCTGCATCCCTTGCTCCCTTACAGATCTTTCCTGTGAGAGCGCTCCCTCGGCAATCTTGCACCCCTAAGACACCATGCTCACCTGACGTTTCCCCTGATGCATCCTTCGTTCCTACTTCAGTCAGCTCTAACTTCTATAGGATTTGCCTCCAAGGGCTCCTTTTCTCCAAGCCTCCGACAGTCTTCTTGAGTGTGCTTTCCAAGTCCATCTCATGAGTTCTGCAACCAGAAAGAGTAATTCTGTATCAAGAACAAATTCAGGCCCAAGCCCTGAAGGGATGTCACCTCTCTCGTAGGGTAAAATACACACATACCCCCACAGAAGCATCAGAAGTTCACTAGCAGGAACTTCCCTGGTTCTGTCTCTCATACAAATGTTGCATTGTTGTGCTTGGCTCGTTGCAGTCACTAGGCAATGCAGGGAGTAGGGGTAGGAAACTCTGAGATAAGGGAAACCGGGAACTCAAGAAGATGGATTTCAGGGAGGAAATAGAACTTGGTTTCTTAGACCTCTCAGGATTGAAATGCACTGCCTTTGTCCCCAGGCGGTGGGGTTCTCATGCGGAGAGGTAGTCCAGGAGCTAGGCAGGGAAGGATCTGAGCCCCGTCCCCCATCAGAGATAGATCGGTTGGGCAGTCACACCCAGTGGCCTGATCAGACACTTTTTGGGGGTTCGTTCTCTTCTGTTCTTCCCACTCCCCAATCTTCCCCCACCTCCATGCCTTTGGCAATGTCTTGTTTAAATATTTGCGCAGGCTTCAGGGAAGAGGGGAGAGTGGGTGCAAACGCCTGAGGGATGGCTCTGCGTCTACACTTGGGCAGGGTGATGGAGAGCCCTTGGGTAGTTAGACGGTGAATCTGAGGACTGCACGTGTGAGGTCCAGCCCACACGTAGAGGAGGAGTAGAGGAATTTGTGATCTTGACTCACAGTGCCTTAGCCACACACGTAGGACTGACTGCAAGACCTGCTAGGGTGAACAGAAGGCAGAACTTCCAGCAGGGAACTGGTGTTTTCCCTTCTGCTTTTCACTACCGACCAGCTGTTCCTTGAGGGGGCTGGCCGGATACTCAACGGCACTTGTGGGAGAGCAAGCCTCAGCCCTGGCCTCCCTACTATATGGCCACGCCCTAGAGGCTCCAGAATCAATAGTGCCCAGGGGAAAATGAGACAGGAGCCACTAGTACTTTAGAGCAGAGCAGCTCAGATGTTGCCAACACCCCCACCCGCCCCCACCCCAGAGGCCTTCTCAGTGCCTTCCTGAGTCACGGGAAGTGCAGGGCTGCCACTGCACAAGCACGTCTCTTTGAATTCTCCATTTCGTCTTGAATATGCATGTAATTTTTGCAATGGACTCCATTTGGGAACGTGAGTGACGTGAGAAGCGGTATAGTCTAGTTGCTAAGAACATGCAGGGTTTAAATCTTTCTACATCAGTCTCCTCATTTGTAAAGTGGAATAAAAGTTATACCTACCTCATAGGCTGGTGTGGTGACTGAGTTAATACAAGCAAAGTACCTGGAACGGCACCTGGTGCATTGTAAGTGTTTGGAAATGTTAACATCATTATTCCTCTACCCTACCTTGATAGGAGAAGTGCAAAGTCAATCCTCATTATTTGCAGATTCCATATTTGTGAACTTGCCTATTTGCTAAAGGTTATTTGCAGCCCCCAAATCAATGCTTGCAGCACTTTCATGGTCCTCTGATGAGGGGTGAACATTTGGAGTTGCCTGATATGCATTTTCCCAGCTAAGGTCCATCAAGGCCATGCTCTGCCTTCTTGTTTCAGCTCTCATACTGCAAACAGGTACCCTTTGAGGGCCTATTCAGTGCCACTTTTCACATTTTGGTCTTTTTTCTTGGTGATTCTGCTGTTTAAAATGGCCCTCCAGAGCAGTGCTGAAGTGCTGTCTAGTGCCCCTAAGCAGAAGGCGGCTGTGATGTGCCCTGTGGAGAAAATCCTTGTGTTAGATAAGATACCCGTGTTAGATAAACTTCATTCAGGCACGCGTTGTGGGTTCAGTGTGAATGAATCAATACATATTAAGCAAGATGTCTTTAAGGAGAAACACACATATGTACTGATTGGTTCACGAGAATGTGGTGACCAGAGGCTGGCAGGAATCTAACCCTGTATCTTCCCCAGGATCAATGGTCTGGTATTCCCAAATTCACTATAAAGTTCCCTTTACTTTATAAGAACATAACTGATAATGGTGAATAGGAGAATCGACTGTACACGGGTGCATTCTTTCTGGTTTAGCCCAGCCCCCCCCCCCCCCCCCAATGACTAGTCTCCCCACGGCCGCCTGCTCCTCTGCCTCCTTCATACTGAACGTCCTCTGCTAACTTCCCGCAAGATTCCAGCTGTTTTACATGGACCGCCCTGGAGATCCTCCTCTTGGCCAGAGGAAGTCACCGAGTTAAGGAAGGCAAGATAGGGGAGGTAGGCGTGCAGGGCCAGCTCCTCTCCGTAAAGCTCTAACACCACCTGTAATGTACCAAACACAGAACAGGCAGGAAAGCAACTTCAGAGATGAACAAATGGAGGCTTTAGAGAGAAGAGAGATATGGGCTCCAACCCTGACTTTGCAACTCACTGTGTACAAGTTATGTTATCCCCTGGGCCTCAGCTTTCCCATCAATGAAATGCGTATAATGTTACTGTCACCACGGGGCCCTTGTGAAGATAAGCTGCACATAAAGAGCTTGGCACGTGGCTGGCACACACTAGGCACCCAAGGAAATGATGACTGTGGTAGGACTTAGCCGGGGGCATAGTGAGACTTTCAATCCCGGGCCCTTGGATTTATACCTCTGAGATTAGGCCAAGGCCAGGGACAAGCGTTCCACCTTACTTCACTTCCACAAGTCCACGAGGAAATTCACCCCAGTCCCGGTGCCTGACACCTCCACCCCAAATCCCAAGCCTGGGCACCCCATGGTTTGGGCAGCTGAGCAGCTCTGTTACCCAAGCTCGGCTCATAGGAAGTGGCACCAGGTACCCGCTTACGAGGCACCCCTACTGGTCGGTCGCTGGTGGTCCCTGGCAGCCAAGAGTCCGGGTGGTGAGTCCACCGGCCCCTGCACAGGATCTGCGCTGGGCGCCTCCGGAGGCAGAGGCGGCGCAGGCCGGGTGGGGCCACTGGTCTCCGACTTCGGTCACGCCTGGCCGGAGCTCCGGAGGCTCGCAGGCACGAGCCAGCGGTTCCGGGCAAGCCTCCGTGTGGCCGCTGGGCCTGACTTAGCAGAGTCGGCGCCGGGGCCCTGGCGGGGCGGGTGGAGGCTCGGGGAAATGCGGGGGTTGGGGGAGGGGGCGATGGCATCCCCGCTCCCAGCTCCGGCTGAGGCGGAGCGCCCCGGCTGGCTCGCGGCGCAGCGGCCGCCTTTCCCCTGCGCGCCTGCCGGCGGCGGCGGTGGCGGCGTCGGCAATCCCGGCTCTTGGCACCACGCCTGGCGGCCGGCCCTAGGCGAGGAGTGGCTTCCAGGAAGCGGGCGGCGGAGCGTTCCAGCCGAGTCTCGCCGTCGCCGCGGCCCCGCGCGCTCCGAGCGGCCCGGCCCGGCCCCTCACGCACTCTCTTCACGCCCCCGCACGGGCGGAAGGCGCGGGGCCGACGCGAGGGCGGGCGGGCGCCCGGGCGCGCCGTGCACTTGCCGGGCGGTGCAGGTGGCGGCGCGCGCCCTCCGCCTCTGGGCCCCCGCCAGCGCCTTGCTCCGCACGCCCGGAGGGGGCGGGAGAGGCGGGGCGGCCCCGTCCCAGCCCCATTTAACTTCTCGGCGGCGGCGGCGACTGCGGCGCCGCGGGCTGGAGGCCAGCGTCGGGGAAGGTCCCGGTCCCGGATTCCGCACGAGGTGTTGACTGGGCCGCTTCTGTCCGCCTCTCCTCCGCGTGCGCCGAGCCCGCGCGGCCCGGGCTGCACGTCCCAGACGCTTCTGCGGCGCCAGGTGGGTGCTAGGAGCTCGGCGCCCGGGGGTGGGAAGGCTCTCTCCGGGGGAGCAAGACGGGGCGGTGGCTTCTGAGCGGGGTTGCGGGGCTCCGAGCGGGAGGGTGCACTGCTGTGTTCCCGGGAGCTTCAGGACCGGGGCGCTCGGCAAGGCTCGGAGACCTCGGGCCGGGCAAACTCCCGTGGGGTCCCGGTGGTTTGGGGGAGAGACATTCAGGGGCGCTTGACTGCGGGGAACTCCACCGGGTTGGGGGTTTTCAGATTTGGGACTTTCTAGGTAGAAAACGGGCTGACAGCACCTAGTGGTCTTGGGCGTCGGAAGGTCCGGCCGGTTGGCAAGTGGGATGCGAGCACCTAGAGCGCCAGGGGCTGAGTGACGCGCCCGCTGTGGCAAGTGGACGTGCGGGACTGGGACGCGGCGGCGGCGGGGGCCCGGGGACTGTGAGGCGGCGGGTAGTCGCGGGGAGTGCGCGCCGGGACGGCTGCTGTGAGCGAGCGAGCGAGCGAGCGAGGGGGCCGCACGGTCCCAGGGCCCCGCACTGGCCACCTCCCTTCGGCCCAGAGTCGCCGCCTCAGGTCGGAAACAGCAGCACATTTGCGGATCGCATTAGGCCGGGCCCTTAATGCTTTCTCCAGATGGAGAGAAGCCACCGACCCGCCCCCGGACACCGGCTCCGCCAAGGCGCCCGCGAGGCGAAGCGAGAGGCGAGGGTGACCTCGGCTTTTCGGCTTTTCCAGGCTCGCCTCGTTCTGATTTCCCTGCAAACTGTCAGGAGAACTCTGAAGAAAGCCCCCGCTGCCCTCCTGGTCTCAGAGGGCCTCTGCTGGTTTGCCCTCATCTACTTTTAGGAGATTGTGCTAGTATGGCCCTGAGACTGTGCCCTCCGAACCTCCCTTAGCTCAACTCTCAGGCCTCTCTCCGAACCTCCCTTAACTCAACTCTCAGGCCTCTCTGGCTGCAGGGCTGAGGCTCCGAGGATGAACGGTGTCCTCTGGTGGGGAAAGCCTTGAACCGTCAGAAGACCTGCATTCCAGTCCTAGAAAAGTCACCGTCTTGCTGTGTGACCTTAGGCAGTTCCCTTCCCCTCTCTGGGCTGGCTTAGTTGGGCTTAGACTCAGTTTTGCCTGAAGCAGCGGAAGCTGGCAGGTGCCCTAACCCTTGGCTCCATGCAGCCTTCCTGAGTGGGATGCCAGTAGCCACACCCTGCTTCTGACACATGGGCTGGGAAGTGGCTGGTGCAGAGATGGCTCAGCTTCTGGAGGGCTGGAGGTACGGGTTGCACATTGGAGGCTGGTCTAGCTGCCCTCCTGACTTTGATGTGGACTCCTCCTAAAGAGAACCCCAGAGAGACTGTACCCTGTAATAGGTAGCTCCATCCTGGGCCAACACAAACCTTTCCAAGACATTGTGTGGGGCTCAGGGTTCCTGCCTTTGGTTGGTCTGTTAAGTCATGAGTGCTGCCACTGGGTCCAGAGCTGATTGGAAACCAAATCTTTCCTCCTTTTTAGGCGGCAAGTGAGCTGCCCAGGAGACCGGACTCCATGGCTTCCTGGAAGAGCCCCTGGTGGCTGCTGGTACGGATGGTCTTCATGAACTCTGCCCTCCTGCAGGTAATAGGGAGGGGAAGGGGAATGGTAGGCATCTCCCTGTTTACTTAGGAGTTTCAGTCTAGATCACCTAAGATGTGGTATGATTAATGTTCATCTTATACCAAAGAGAACTAGTTGTTTCTTACCTCCAGCAAATGGTATTTCTGGTTGGCTTAGCTGTAAGCATAATCCAATCCCTTGGGTCCTCTCCGAGTCCTGATACCACTGTGCCTGATACCACTGTGGATGCTGTATATGAGTGATAACTTGGGGCTGTGATGGATCCTGTCTTTTTCAGTCTGGAACGGCTGTCTGCATGTGCACTGTAGAGACTTGGCTGCTATAGGCCAGGACACAATGATTGGGCAGAGGCCAGGTTGTGGCATTAGCTCAGCCACTAAATAAGTATTGTGTTTACGTCTATCAACACATATCACACTGTTTTGCAGTCCTCCCTCCCTCCCTCCCTCTCTCCCTCCCTCCCTCCCTCCCTCCCTCCCTCCCTCTCTCTCTCCCTCTCTCCCTCTCTCCCTTCCTCCCTCCCTCTCTCTCTCTTGCTTTCTTCAAATGCTCTTTTTAATAACTGTCACCCAGAGCCACGGGCCTATGGGTTGAGCCCCTGGGCAGGGCTGGTGGCCAGACCCTATCGGCTTCCAGTGGCACTACAGGGCTTTTCTAAAATAAAGCCTGGAGTGGGCTGGCAGCGGGTCCCAGCCCTGGAAGGTCCCACCTACTTGGGCTGTGCATGGTCCCAACTGCAGCATCTCTCGGGCGCCGGGTTACAACGGTTACAACGTGGAATGCTTCCTGAAGGGCACTCGTGGTCAGGAGTCCGGCTGCTGCCTCGTCCAGGAACCAGCAGAATTTCCCAGTTCGGGGCTGGACTGGGGCTGCGGGGAGGGGGTTTTCCTGCTTGTCGTCCAAAACGCGCTTCAGAATGTCTGCCTTGCCTGCTGTAGTTGCCACAAAGACGACACTTGGAGCTGCCTTCAACACGGGAAGTGTGAGGCTTCTGGGGAGTCGCCGATGGGGGGGCCACCAAATTCTCCCGCTCCTGCAAGGGGGAGTGGCCGGGGAAGAGTGAGCAGGTGTGGCCATCGGGACCCACACCCAGAATCAGCAGGTCGAAAAGCAGAATGGAGTCCCCTCTTAAGGCCTGTCTCACCTCCTTGGCCGAGTCCTCAGCCACCTCCTCTACAGGCAGCGCGGGGTTAATGGTGATCACCTGGTTGGCGGGGCTGGGCAGTGTGGAGAGCAGGTGGGGCTGCTGGAGGCCATCAGTGCTCTCGCAGTGCTCCAAGCGCATGTCGGAGAAGCCCAGCGTCCAGCGCGCAAGGCCGGCAGGCCCGGTGCAGGCAGCGGCAGCGGGCAGCTCGTGGGCCTGCATCGATTCGAGGCTGCTGCCGGACAGACCGGGCGCCAATTGGCCTTGGCCCCGCGCCAGGCGCTGTTCCACCAGTTGTGCCAGCGACGGACCCAGCTCCTGCGGGCTGGAGAAGACCAAGAAGAGGCTGCCAATGCGCCTGCGCTGCAGTCTTTTCTTTAGCATCCTGTCTTTCCCACCAGCCCCAGGGGGACCCAGCTCAAGCATCGCATCCCTCAGTTACCCACTGGACAGACTCAAACGAATGGAGCTAGCGTTGCCTGAGAGACAATAGGGAATGGCGGAGACTGTGGCAAAGTTGATGGTACATGCTCCATCTATTAAGAACAATCTCTACTCAGCTCCAGCTGATCATTGCCAAGGGAGAATGCACACTCAGGATTGCTGGATCGTACTATTTTGCAAGACAGCTGTTTATCCAGACTTCCTATGCTGTCTCTCAGTTGTTAAAGCATTGAAAGCCAGACATATATATTTGTAGACTAGATTCAGCCAAGCAGTTTGTACCCCCAGATCTAAAGGTGCAGAGCACATCTTGGTGTTGTGTCCTGAGTTATGCTGCTAGCCCATACCGTACCTTGTGTGAATTAGAACATGCTGGTCCATACGGTATCTTGTGTGAATTAAAGCAAGGCAACCCCTCCTCGCACATGGAACTTCTCATTACATGGCTTGGTGGCCTCTGTACTCCCAGGGCTGGCAAAGGGCCTGGCATGTAATAAGGGCTCTAACGTCTATTAGATGAGCATATACACGTATATAAAGAGATCCACCCTGGGATAGATTAGTCAGACTTCTCTGCTTCTCGTTTCACTCCTGTACTTAGTGTTTCTAAGGCCTCTTTCAGCTCCAGTGTCCCATGATTTCGGGGGCTCATGCAGAGCTGGTTAGTGAGGTACATCTTCTCCCCCATTATTCATTTTATTGGTGCTACCCCATATTCACATTTCAATAGATAGCTTTTATTAGAACACATGTTAATATTTTCAGGGCAACTTTAGGATTTCTGTGGTCAGCGAGGTATAGTGTCGGGGCAAAAGGATGGAGACGTGCTTTTCCATCCCATCAGCAGATCTGAAACAGGCTGTGAGAGCTCCAGAGATTTGTTCCTGGTCAAATGAGGCTGAGTCTTCAAGGCACCGAGTTTCATTTTGCCTTCTTCCACCCTATAAAATTTAAATGTGTTTTGAGGCAGTCTGTTGACCTTTGGCCAAGGGCAGTGTTTGCCCAGCTTGAGTCACGCACTGACCTCTTTTGCATTTTTCCATATCTTTGTGCCGCTGCAGCGTTGTTTCCATGTACTGGGGCAGTGTGCACAGAAGGCTGTAAGCGGAGATTTCAGGCCAGCGGTCTTCATCATCCGCAGCATCAGCTGTTGGAATCCCAACTCCACCACTTCAGGGCCTGTTATACAAACGTCTCTGCAGCTCAGTGTCCACATTTGTAGAGAGGGGGTGTCTACCTCATAGAATTTTCTGGAGGAGGTAATCCATTGTGAATAGGAAAAAAGTAACAAGCAAAATGAAAACTGTCTGGCATGTAGTAAGTGTACGAAGTCAGTGCTGTTGCTGTATTAACCCTTTGAAACAAGCGAGATGCCTGTGATTTCTGCTGGGGATGTGGCTGGTCCCATCACGGGGCCTGGAGAATGTTCTAGGCAAGGCTAAGTCAGTTTGGGGTGCCCAAGGGTTGGACACTTGGTTATCTCCCTAGGGTCAGCCTGAGTTTGAGTCAAAGCTGCTCCTCTGAGGTATCTTGGGATTTGGGTGTCTGGAGGGCCCTTGGGGGTCTTCTTTGGTCTCTCCCCTTCCTTATAAGTGCTGCCATCAGGAGGCTGGTGGAGAGTTAATAGCCGTGTGAGGCTGAGCTGCAAGGAGCAAGGAATGTGCCAACTCATTTAATAAAAACTAGATTTTCTTTATTAAATCAGCTAAAACTGAAACCTTTATATTCACTGGCCACAAATAATTGTGATAGATTGCAGAGCAAGCCATGAGGTCAGCAGTCTCGTGTTTCTCTAACTCGTTCTTGACTGTTTCTGGAGGAGCTCACCGTTTCCCTCACTCAGGCAGCTGGAAAGGCCTCCCATCTTCCGGTTACACCCTGGCCCTGGGAGCTTCCTGTTGCTCTGGGCCTGCTCCTTAGGGACCCTGATCTTCCCTGAGAAGACAGGTGCTGCTGTTCCAGCTCTCTCTTCCAGCCTTCTTCATTGAGAAGTCTCAACTCAGGGGGATAGAAATATGGAGCAAATCATGGGCTCCAGCCCTGCTTTGCCAAATCCATTCCATTTCCATGCCTCGTGCAATCTTGGGCAGATTCCCTTTCATTTATTAAAAGTCCAGTCCAATTTAAAATTTTGATTCCCTGCTTGATTTAAATCTTATCTCCCTTCTGTCTAGTCTAGCCTTGACACGTGGCTCCAGGTACCTGAAGTGGGGTCGTACTGTGGTCCATTCTCTTCTCACCTCAACCGGTGGTAAGGACTGGTGTGGGGTTCTTTCTTCCTTTTAGTTATTCTCGGTCCAGCTGGGGTTGGGAGCAAGGAGAGGGGATGGGGAGAAGGTCAAACAGCTCTTGACTTAACTGGATGCCTCTCTCTGGTAGTTGTCACCGTCTCTAGCTCTCATGGACTCTCTGCCCTCTGGGTAGCACATGTAAATTCTTCAGAGCGCTCTGCAGGACCTGCCTTTCCTGAAGCAGGAGGTCCAGCTCCGGCTTGCCTCGTGCTGCTGGGATCTTCTTGCCTCCAGGCAACCCTGTTGGGTGGGGTGCTGGCAGGATGGCTTAAACCCGGTTCCTTTGGTATTGTCCACTTAATCCACAGGAAGTGCTCACATCCTTGCTGTGCAGTTGGTGGGGGTGTGGGATGCTCCAGCGCTGGCTCCTCTCTCTGTCCTGCCAACTGCCTTCAGTTCTCTGGTCCTTGCTCTGCTAGGACAGATCAGTGGATCCAGTCTAAGCTCATACCCACCTGGAGAGAGGATCGCCAGTCTCTCCTTGCAGGCATCCCCAGTCTCAATGAGTGATTCTTTTATTTCTTCAATACATCTCAGTCCTCCTTCTTAGAGGGGAAGGAGTGAGGTGGTAGCTGGTATCCCTTCTTAGGGAGCTCTCAGGGAGAGGTCACCTTATGTTGGTAGCCCTCTCGAGAATGTGTGTACTTAGCTCCTCCTTATCACGAGCTTTGCCCCCTAAATTCCAGTGTTTTGGCATTGGGAAGGGTCAGCATCTTGATACTAAAATTAGACATGTTGGTTCTAGTCCTAGGGCCATGCTGGTCTTGGTGGTAGTTCTGGTCTCTGATTCCAGTGGTTCCGGTCTGATGTTTTAAGTATTGTTACGTTAGGTGGTTCTGGTCTCAGAGGTTCTCTCTGGCATTGTTTTTGGTCTTGTCGCTGTTTCTGATCTTAATCATTATGGTTTTCATCAGTCCTGGGGTTGGGAGTGGTTCTGGTCTCAGTGATTCCGGATATCTTGGTGGTTCTGGTCTTGGTGGTGTTTTTGTCTCCGTGGCTGTTACCACGGTGGAAACTCCAGTATTAGTAGGTTCATGTCTTGGTGTTGGCTGTGGTTTTGGTGGCATTGGTGGCAGTTCTCCCGCTGTGACACCACCAACATTAATCCTAACGTTCGCTTT